AAAGATATTCTTTCTCTTAGATCTGCAAGCAGATCATTTTGGGCTCATCGAATTCTCTCAATCTGTTCCCGTGACCTTTCATTCCGTTTTTAGTGAGTTTATTTTAGTTGATGTGGTATGAAATGATACCCACTGTCTAGTCTTATGGTTTATTGAAAGTTTGGTCATTTTGGAAGATGTGAAAATACAGCTTCCTTTTGGCTGCTGTCTGGTTCGACTGCAAGGTGTGTGTTCCCGCGAGCAGGAATTCCAGTTCAACCCACCAGTGTCTTCCAAATAAAGGCCATTAGGTGTGGTTTTAGGTTTGCTTTTCTAAAATACACAGATAGACAGAAACAGATTTGTCCTGTCTTATCATAGACTTGTGAAACCACGTAAGTGGTTAAGTGAGAATTGTGTCTTTAAGCAGGTAGCTAAAGGGGAGATAAAGGGGAGTGTCTTTTCTACTGCAGGTAGCTAAAGGGGAGTGTCTTTTCTACTTTCTGGATCTTTATTCAGTCAGTGGAAGCACAAGAACCTTTTGCTATTAAACACCTATGATTCGAACTCTGATTCAGTGAGCCCTGGGATTGAATAGATTTGGGTACAATTTGGGATGAATCTGTCACTACCCAGGCTCATGCTATTCAAGATTCAGGCACCAAGTGGACTTAATACGGTACCCTGTGAGGTCCACATGTGCGCTATCCAAACTCGGTCATAAAAAGCCAGGGGTGCTTGTACTAGCTCCAGGCCCCCTCTTGGTGTGGACCATTCCTGTACCCACAGTCAAGCAGCCAGAGCAGCCCTTTTCGTCGATCCACCCTAATTCTCAGAAAGTTCTTGTTTACATTGACCTGGAATGTGCTTCCCTGGGTTGATTTGGTAATTCTTTCAGGTGCCACTCAGAATATGCCTGCTTGCTTTATCATGATCTGAATTTTCTCAGCCCTGTAGTATTGGCTTCTATTGTGAGGGCTTTCTCCTGGACAGTGGCCTAGGGTCTCCCTGTGGGGCCTGGCTGGCACTGTAGCTTTGGGCAGCCATCAGCTACCCAGCTCTGGGCTTCTGAGAGTTGGTGCTCACTGGGAACTTACATGCGTCAGTCCTTTAAAAGCTGAGGATGCCTCCTGTGTCCTCTTGCCCCAAAGTCCCCTCCCTCCTGGCCTCCTCTGCCTTCCTACCTGGCCTTCAGTCTGGCTCGGCCTGTCAGACCGAACTTCGTAGGCCACTCTGGTTTCCTGTCCATTCCCCCTCTGCCCCCAACCCAGCCTGCCTTCAGAAGCTATTCATCTATGAGATGATGGAAAGAATTACATGAAATTCTCCTTCATATTGAGATAGCACAGTGACCCAGGCCCAGGACCCCAAGGATACCAGATGGCCAGAAGGAATGCTGGACCACAAAAGTGCCTTTTCACTCCCTACTCAGAAACATAGGCAGCTGATTTTATCTCCCCTTTAGCTACCTGCTTAAACTACCCATTCGAATGTGCAGTTGACCAAGGTTTGACCGCTGTTTGCCCTTCCTAGGGTGGCAGTAATGAGAACTCTGCCATCCTACCCCCTCAGCGTAGGTGCAAAGTCATTACCAGGCAAAGCAGCTGGAAAAGGAATTCACCTGAACCCTAAAATGAAAAATTCCACAAGCCACCTTTTCAGAACGTCTGCCTTTTCCCGCAGCCCACTTTGCCACCGGCTTATGAGAGAGCCAAGCAGAGCCAGCCATGAAGCCAGTTCTGAGGACCTTCCTCTCCTCTGTGCTGCCTCCCTTGTGCTCGAGCATAAGCTTAATAAACTCTGGACATTTTTCTGCGGCTTGGGGAACCCAAGAACTGTAATGCCAGTAGCAATATAACTTTACGTGTGCCTTAACGTCTATAGAATATTGATGCTGAGTAAATACATTTATTTGACCCTTGAACAATGGGGTTAGGGGTGCCAACCCCCTGTGCTGTTGAAAATCCCCATATAACTTGACTCCTCCAAAACCCAATTGTAGTCATCCCTCGGTATCTACAGAGGATTAATTGTTTCTAGAACCCTCACCCCGATACCAAAATCCCAAGATGCTTAAGTCGCTTGTATTAAATGGCCTAGAACAGTGATGGTGAACCTATGACACGCGTGTCAAAGGTGACACTCGAACTCATTTTTTTGGTTGATTTTTCTTTGTTAAATGGTATTTAAATATATAAAATAAGTATCAAAAATAAACATCTTCATTTTACTATGGTTGCAAATATCAAAAAATTTCTATATGTGACACGGCAGCAGAGTGAAGTTAGGGTTTTTCAAAATGCTGACACGCCGAGCTCAAAAGGTTCGCCATCACTGGCCTAGAACACGTCTGTGGGCTCTCAACTGCAGATTGAAAGCACTGTTTTCCTTTGAGGTTGGTTGGATGTGATACCCCGGAGGATACAGAGGACTGACTGTATTTATTGAAAAAAATCCCCATATAAGTGGACCCATGCAGTTCAGGCTCGTGCTGTTCAGCGATCAACTGTAAATCCATTTCAGCATGGTTAATGTAGTTGGAAAATTCTGCCTTGTTGTTTGCAAGCATGGAAAACTAGAGTTAGTTGGTAGAAAATATATTGATTTATTTAATCCTTGAATCTGAATTTTCAAAGCTTTATTTTTTTAGTAGCACTTGAAAATCACATATCAGCGCCCATCTGCAAATAGAATTTTTTAAAAATATTACTTTGTTACCGTTTGTTTTATTTAATGTAGCATCTCTGTAGTAATATGTGCAGTAATACGTCCAGTAGCAGATGAATATTTGTTAGGTTGAGGCAGGGCTAACTAGCTCTCAGTAGAGCTTTTGTTCAGGGTTAATACCCTTCTTTTAAAAAAATCTCTTTTGAGTTAGAGAAAAACTGGACAGCTTCATACAGGCAGAGTAAGTAATTGGAGGCAGTGGTATGGAATGATATGTCTTCTCGTCCTGAGTGCACAGCTAACCAAGCACAGCTGAAGGGTTGCAGTGGGTGCTGTTGATTCTCAAAGAGGTCTTTAATATTTAAGAGATAATTTTTGGATTATGAAAATATTTTTCATGTTAAACATTTTTCTCCTGTCTTCTGTCTTCAGTCCATGTACTTTTCTAACAAAGCCTGCCTCTCTAGTGTTTGTGAAAGGAGGAGAACGAGAAACTGGTGGTGTTAACCCTCCACCCATGAGTCAGTGCCAGTTCTGAGAAAGATGCCCTTGTCACATAGAAGACAGTCTGTGGCTCCACTGAGCTGCACGAGGGCTTTGAGAATGAGAACTGCTTACACCAGGAGACGTGAAGTTCCCACAGACAGGCCCTGGCTTATTGGGCATTTCTGCAGCTTTGAGAGCCATTAATTCACTAGTTGGACTAGGTTATGATAGAATAGTAAATAGCTTTGTGGATTCTCAAAGGTTTATTTGAGGTCAGTATGATTTTAGACAATGTTCTTTCCTTGGAAATTGTTGCTTTTAAGTTTTAATATAGTTTGGGGTTTTTGGTTTTAAGGAAAGTTTGCTTTTCAGAAAGTTTATAGTATATAATGGCCAAAAATAGAGTGAAACAAAAATGTTCATCTTCATTGGAATGCTGATGGCTGCGTTCAGCATTTCATTTGTATGCTCAGGAATTTAAGTATGGTAGGTCAGCTACAAGAGATTGCAAACTAGGCTTTTTACAGTGATTCAAATTACATTATTAGAGCTTGAATGGATTTAATGATATTCTTACCTGAGAAGGAACTTTAACAGTTACAGTGTCTTCCACTTGGAGGTTTGAATGTTTATAGACTTAATGTTGGATCAGGAATGTCTGTGGTATGTGTGTGTTTGTGATGCCAGTGTGTATGTGGTAAACATGTATGCGTGTGTGTGTACATGTGCCGTCAGCCCCATATGTAGACATGGCAACATAATCGTCCCCAGCTATTGTCCCACAGTTGTCTTGTTTGGCGGGAAGTGAAAGGTGGGTTGAGCTCTTACTTCCTGTGAGCCAGGTCACAGGACTAGGACATCTATGAGCTTGAGTGCGAATCACTTTGAGATAGGATCTTCCAAGGGATTGCGGCTTCCGAGGCTCATGAGTTCTCGTGGGTGGGAAGAAGTGACAAAGTGGTTTTGACAAGGCCATGCTCCTTGTCACTGAATGTCTTGGTGCAGATCACTCTGCTGACTTTGCTTGTGTGGCTGACTGCACCCACCTGGCCACTTCTCCTCAGACCTGTAGGGAGACATTGAGGGTTATGGACGTGGAAGTATCAGGGCTGCTGGTCAGGTTGACTGATCTGTTGTTACATCTTAAAGCTGACACAGGACCCAGTCCTGATGTTGTGTGTGCAACTGCTTCTCCATGTGGCTTCTGTTTTGTGTGTCACTGTGACGCATGAGGATAATGAACAAATGCCAGCATACACCAGAACAGGTTTATAAAATCATGTTCTTCGAGAACACAGCATCCGACATTACTGATTCTGTAATGCATGTTAAAATGTGTCACCTGATCATGGTTTTGCTAACAATGAAAAATAAAGTACAGGCAGCAATGACCACATTTCACTTTTTGTATTTAAAAGCTTGCTAATAGCTAAGAACCTCGTTTGAGTTTAAACAGAGAAGTTCTGTTGGTCCACAGATGGAGGGGGAAGTGTTCTGCCCGTTTTGTTCGTTAGAGCTACAGTATCAGGGATCGGGGTTTGCCAGCAGTGAACAGAGACAGGTGAATGAGAATGCCTGGCCAGTTAACGATGGGTTAACTAGGCAATCAAGGAAACAAAAGCAAAAACACTATCAAAAGTTAACTGAAGATTCTTGAAAGTTAAAAATCTAGTCTCAGTATATAAAATTGATCGTCATAAGATATTTTTTACTGTTAAACATGATTTCCTAGAGGTTTCTGAGAAGTGGGACCAGTGGTGTGTTGGCATCTGAGACATACAAGACAGATGGGACACATGCTGGCCACCACAATGTCCTGGGGAGATGTCTTCTGCTCACAGTTGTTTTATTGTTTTCTCTATGTGTTGATGAAACAGCCAGACCAAATCCGTTTGGAATGCCTGGGATAGTGCCACCGTATGTCCCCCCCCAGATGCTCAACATTCCACAGACCTCTCTGCAAGCCAAGCCCATGGTAAGGCCTTTCCTTTCCTTCTGCAGCTGGTTTGCCTGCCTTGGGGACAGCTGGCCTTGCTAGCTGCATATGCATCAAATCTTAATGAACATTGAAATAACATCTTATGCTACTGAATTGATATGTGAAACAGGTGTCAGTGTTTGTTGAGTTAAAAATGGAGCCAGGTCCCGTAGGCAGCTTGTGGGTGTGTGACCTGTGCCCTCTGCCCTCTGTTTCAGGCTCCACAGGGGCCCAACCCAGGTGCTCCGGGTCAGGGTCCACACCATTACAGCCTCGCTGAGCCGGCCCTCCCTTTAGAAACAAGCGGAAAGAATCTGACTGAGCAGAACAACTACAGTAACATTCCTCATGAAGGAAAACATACTCCACTGTATGAAAGATCTTCCCCGATCAACCCAGCTCCGAGCGGCAGCCCCAATCATGTGGACTCAGCGTACTTTCCTGGTTCTTCTACGTCGTCATCTTCAGACAATGATGAAGGCAGTGGAGGAGCTGCAAAGTGAGTGGTGGGTTTCTTATGTAGCTCATCCCTGGGGAAGCCACAGCCCATGGCACCGAGTGTTGTGCTCAGAGAGGCAGTTTGCTGCAGGTAGGTGAGGGTCTCTGTGCCGGGATTGGAGCTCCTCAGACATGGAGGAGAGAGGTGGTTAGACATTTTCACAGGGATTCCCGCTGAACGTCTGCTGCCAGCCTTGGCTTAGCCCGTTGTTCCTCTGCTGGGGTGGAATTTTAGGAAAATTGGTCTATGTGACCACCAGACGTGGTGAAGTTGTCTGCTGATCCTTCCTCTATGGTTTTCCTTGCTGTTCTTGCCCTACCCCCATCCCAGGAAGCATTTTAAGTTAGACGCCTGTGGCTTTCAGTCTCAGCTCCTGGACCAGTGGGAACTTTGAATTTCTTTTGCTGAGTTTAACAACTCATAGGACTCTTCTTGAAATAACACTATTCACCCAACCAAAACCCTAGAAAGCTGCCAGACCCAGGCTGGAGTTCTCCCAGAGAGGAGTATTTTAAACGTGTGCCCCTAAGTAAATGAATTTTCAAGTACATAATTTGTTATAATCTGATTGAGGAAGTCTTAAATGGACAGTCTTCCTCCCCTCCTTTTTCACCTTATGTGTCTAAGAATCCTGGTTCAAATAGAAGAAAGAAGAAAGGAAAAGAAAAAGGGTCTTTTCTTATAGCCTTATCCCCTTTTCCTGGGTTGGAACTCTAGTTAACAGGTAGATGCCATGGGCTAGTTAGTATTACATTGATTTCTGCTGTAAGAAATGTGCAAGTTTCCATTCTTCCTGCAAGTTACTGATGCTGTAGATGTTTCCTCTCTTGTCCTCTTTTTCTCCATCTGTAAAATGGCAGTAATGTCTGCTGACCTCAAGCGGCAGTAACCAAAGGGTTTGCTGTCATCCAGAGATTGTGCGGTGTCTGAAGCAGAGCAGAGAAGCATACAATGCTTAAACTCTTACTGCATGTGCAATCCTAAAATGAAGTGAAAAGTCATAACATTCAAACTTTTGAGGTAACCTTTTGGAAAGGAAATATATTTAAGATCTACTGAGTGAGAATTTCTGGGCAGGGGCTCAGAAATCAGTGTGTGTAAATGAGCACCCAGTGTCTCTATAGCTCATGGAAGTCTAAAAATGGCTGATAGATGTCTTGAACCCCTTCCACTCTGGAATTCTATGAGTTTTGTTTTAAAAGTTGACTCATGTCAGCAAAGTCAAGGCATCTGTATAGTACATGGTCGTGTTAATAAGAAACATTCTTTCCAGACTGAAACACAGGTAGACGTGAGGCAGATGTGCTTTGTGGGGTGGCGAATGTGGGAGCCAGCAGAGGCCTGGCATGGGGAGGTGTGGTGGCAGCCTTGTATTTTCAGGTCAGGATTCTGAGATTATGCAAGCTGCAGCTTAATTTGGCACACTGCCCAGTTAGACGTGAGTTGAACTTGGAGTGAGTAAAGTTTCTCCTCCCTTCTTAGGTACAGATTCAGTTCCACCCTGTACCCAAAGGTCCTGGCCAGCATCGCATTCCCTGAAACTGTCCTCGATTTCAGTCACCTCTCCCACTTTGAGCTGTAACTCACTTGTCCACACCCCAACTTGGTGTTTTCACTGCCTTTTGTGGAGAAGCTTCTGGAAAGTGGACTCAGTGTAGGGTCAGCAGGAACATCTGCTGTCCTTGTGATGTAAAGTGTGGTGGAGTACATTAGCAGCTAGCAAGGGCAAGAGTGGATCAAGTGTGGCTTAGCAATGTCTTAATTTCCTTGAATCTACTTCCCCATTTATTTTAACAACGAGAGACAGAAGAGTTAAAATTAAGAGGACATGGGGTACGTGTGCCTGAGGCTTCAGGATTATGTGCCAGGCATCGTAGGACCCGGGATGAGCCCTGGTCATAGGTGTCCTTGCTTGTGGCAGAATGCTAAAGGAAGGTCAGTGTTCTTGATTTCAGGGTGAAGATTCTAGCCCAGTGATGGCGAACCTATGACATGCGTGTCAGAGGTGACACGCAAACTCATTTTTTTGGTTGATTTTTCTTTGTTAAATTGCATTTAAATATATAAAATAAATATCAAAAATATACATCTTTGTTTTACTATGGTTGCAGATATCAAAAAATTTCTATATGTGACACGGCACCAGAGTGAAGTTAGGGTTTTTCCAAATGCTGACACGCTGAGCTCAAAAGGTTCGCCATCACTGTTCTAGCCCGTTGAATGTGTCGTGTGTGTGCACTTGAGGCCATGCATAGGATAGAGGGTTGCTTTCCTAGCTCAAAATCCGGTGAGAGCATAAAGTCAGGACATATGGTTGGTTACCTTTGGTTTGGATATGAATGAAGACCCCTGAATCTACAATTTTCAGATGGTCTTGAGGGAAAGAAATCATCCATTCAGCCAAGCAGCACTTGAGCACTGTGTCTACCAGTGAGCATGGTGGCAGGCAGTACAGACAAGGTGTGGTGCAGGCAGTCTGCAAAGAAGTGAACAGCCCAAGTGATGAGTGTATGAAGAACACCCCGGACAAGAGGGACTGGAGTTGGGAGCACGTCCCCGAGAGGTGAGATTTGAGCTGTGGCAGTGGGGACAGAGCTGGACAGATGTAGGGTGGAAGGAGAGGTGGCTTGACCAGCAGGAGGTCTATCAAGGTGGAGGCTGGATGGTGAAGAGTCTGACCTCTATGCTCGGTGTGACGTGAACTATCTACAATGCTTGCTTAGAATGGCCCTGTGGCAGGAGAGATCCCATGATTCTCTGGAAATGAGTTTGCTCTGATCTGGTGTCGTTATCCTTGGGATGGACAAGTATTTGGGAGCCTAGGCCATTTAGCTGGAAATCACTCCAGGACCCGACTTCAGCACCTCTTGTAACAGCTTCTGCAGGTTGACTGTAAATGTTTGTAGTTGCTATACTTACGAATTTGACTTGTGCAATAGCAGAGGTGCGAGTCTGCCACCACCCAGCTGGGTGTGTCCCTCTCTGTCACTTCATCATCCCTCATCACTTTTTTTAAAAAAATTCTTACCCAAGGATATTTTTTCTGATTAATTTTTAGGGGGGGCAGGGGTAGAGAAAGAGAGAGAACATCAATGTGAGAGAGACACATTGATTGCTTGCCTTCCACATGAACCCTGACAGGGGCTGGGAGTCGAACCTGTGACCCTTGGACTGCAGGCCTCCACTCTAAACCAGTGATGGTGAACCTTTTGAGCTCGGCGTGTCAGCATTTGGAAAAACCCTAACTTAATCTGGTGCCGTGTTACATATAGAAATTTTTTGATATTTGCAACCATAGTAAAACAAAGACTTATATTTTTGATACTTATTTCATATATTTAAATGCCATTTAACAAAGAAAAATCAACCAAAAAAATGAGTTTGCGTGTCACCTCTGACACACGTGTCATAGGTTCGCCATCACTGCTCTAAACCCTGAGCTAAAGTAGCCAGGGCCCCTTATCACTTTTCCCTGTTCGATTCCCTCTGGCATTTATACTCCCTTCACTGTATTTTCCACAGGTGGGTCCATAAAATACTAGTAAGTGATACTGTTTCTCTAACAGACATCAATGATTTTTTTAAAGCATGGTGCTGATGGGTCATAGGACTATCTATAATAATAAAAGCATAATATGCTAATTAGACCTTCCGGATGAAGCCGAGGCTGCGAGGGCTGAGGCAAGCCACCGTGGCTATGAGGGCCGAGCCCCTTACATGAATTTTGTGCATTGGACCTCTAGTTATAGAATAAAAGAGAATTGTTACCCTCACCACCAGAAAAAAAGCTTCCTACAAATTAAAAAGACGAGTGTTTTGAATGGCAAAGGATATAAACATGCAGGTCAGAGGAAACACAGATGGTCAATAAAATATGAATGGATGATCTTGCTCACTAGGAAAATCAAAGGAATGCAACTTCAAACATGATACTTTTTTTAACCTATGACATTTGCAAACATTTATTAAAAGAAATAAGGTCAGTGAGGGAAATGGGTAGAGTTTGTGTGACATGAGGTCTTGGCTCTCTTGGCAGGTCCTCGGCATTTGTGATGTCTGAGAGCCGAGGGCACTCCCCAGAAGGTTTGCACTGTCTGAGCTCAGAGATGGGTCTGAGGGTGCATCGCAACCACGTTGGCCAAGGCAGAAACATGCCCCAACTCTAAAGCATGTTCTTATGTGAAAGGAAGTGCATGCTGAGGTGTCCTGTGGACTCGCTGGGTGTGAAAGTGCCTCCTGGCTTGTCTTTGGGTTCAGACAGTGGCCCTTTCACTATGGGTGTGTATGTATATACACATGTATATGTATGTGCTGGGTGGACCCTGTATCTCCTACGCCCCCCCCCCCTTTTTTTTTAAATACCTAACTCAGGATTTTAGCCTCTTCAGATGTCTTTTCCATCACCCTGCTGGAATGGGCATCGCGGGTTCTTACTGTCTTGAAGTGGGCTTGTGTCCCTGGGCAGTTTATAGGTCTGTGCTGGACTGAGAGGTGCCTTGTATACTGGGGCGCAAACTGGGTACCCTCACCAGGGCTGAGATGAGCTGCATTGGTGCCATTGGAACTATCCTGAGTGTCCATTCTCATGTGCAAAATTGCAGCCTCCTGCTGTTGCAGGGGCTCTGTGTCTGTCCGAGGGCTAGGCGAGTGCCTGGGCAGTTATCCCAGACCCATGGCTGTTATATTGAAGCAAATAAGAAAGAAATGCTGCTTTCTAACTAAATAATATTTTTCTCCTGTTCTTTTTTCTAGAGTATAATCAACATATATTTCTTACTCTGTTCTTGTCAGTGTTTTTTGTTTTTCTTCTCTTCCTGGCCTTTGTCAAGTCTTTGTAATCCTGTTTTGGTTAAGAGTTACAATTGAATCCTTGTGGGGATGTTTATTTTATTGGCTTTTAGATTCATTGGCTTTTAGAATTTGAATCTGATCTGAGGTTGCCAATTTGAAGATTTTAGTTCTTTGTTTGATTTTTTTTTTGTAATTAACATCTCAATACA